TTAGAATTAGTTGACTGAGATGTTTCATTACCCTGTATAATAGACAACATCTGTTGGAGTTGTAATTCAGTTACTTTATTCTTTATAGATTACATCTGTTGCATTATTGGATTCATTGGAGTTGTAATTCAATTAGCTAAATATTTACTACTTCCATTGTGATTAGAATAAGAATTCTTGGTTACTCTATGCTTTGGGTGTTCAAGAGGATAACCATGTAACTTCCAACATGTTTCTTTTGTATGATGATCTCTATCACAATGAGAAAAATGCAGTGGCTTTCGATGAGATGAATTAGGACAAGAAGAAAGGCCTTGTTTGTGTCAAACAACAAGGGTTGTTAGTTCTTTTTTTAAAAAACCATGGCTGAAGCTTCTATTGTGTCACGTGTGGGGCCCAAATGTCAATGTTTTTCTTCTTGATTGATGGAAGAATAAGCTTGTCTAACATCAGGAAATGGATTCGTTAAGAGAAGTTAGCTGCGAATAACACTACTATAAGAGTCATTCAACCCTATAAGAAATTGCATCAATTTGTGCCTTTTATTATTTGCTCCACAAGTGTAGGTTGCATTTTTATAGGAGCCTAATTGATCCCATAATTTTTTTAACTTTGTGTAATATGCTGCGATTGTCATTTGATCTTGAGCCAACAAGCAGTGTCTCTCTCGATCTAAAAAATCTATGGCACATGGCTTTAAGAGAAATGATTTTGAAGATCTTCCCATACTTCATGAGTAGTGTCATAGAAAATAACACTGTCTACAATATCAAGTGTCAAATAATTAAAGATCCAAGATAACACCCTGTCGTTGCATTTTTTCCAAGTTGTATATTCTTCTGGTTTGGCCTTGTTGAGATTTCCATCAACAAAACCCAATTTAGATTTTGCATTGAAAGAGATGGCCATGGCTTTATGCTAAGTTGAATATTTGTTTCGATCCAGAGATTTGAACAAAAAGAGACCATTCTAGGATGGTTAGAATGATGGAGAGAATAAGAACTACTGAAATTTGGTACATTTCCATCATTAGCCATGGAAACAAGGATAAAGGAAATAAAAACAGAGGAATGATTGAGTAGAGGATCGTTCTTACTCGTGATAACATGTAAAACGAGGACAAATAGAAGAAATTCTACCTTATGTATATTGAATGAAAATATAAAAGATATATACAAGAGAAAATATCCATAATTATGCTATTTTATCCCTATAATTATGCTAATATGTTCCTATAATAATGCAAGAGTATTCCTACAAATCAACTATTTTAATGTAGACAATTATAACAATATATTCTCTCAATAATATTGGGATATGAGATTTATTTTCTAATAGCTTAAACGTGTCTAATCATTCGGTTTAAGAGGTGTCTAGACTCTTACTACCATATTTTACTTCCCCTGATTTCTTTTACTAAAATTTTCTAACTTTGTTACTCAAGTAATCTTCATGTGATTGGTTTTCATCCAACAAAATCAATAATTTTGTATTTTATTTCTTTCTTTACTTATTTTTTGTGGTGTGAGTGAGCTTACTCGCTTAAATGAATGTTTCTTAAGCGTAAGTTTTGTGGTTTAAGTACAAAAGCTTAATATAAAATCTATATCACTTGACTATTTATTGCTTAAGTTTGAGTTTTGTTTCACCTAATTAGTTTTCCTTTAAGTGTATTGGGTGTTACTTAAGAAAATCCATTGTATCAGAATTTTTTTAAATGTGATTCTTTCAATCTTTAATCTTTCTAAGATGATCGCAACACATATCACTATATGAGTTGTGGAGTCATGGTAAGCTATCAAAAACCATTTATTCTTTCCACTAATAGGATGGTTAGGCTAACGAGAAATTTCTTAATGACCACATCTTCTACTCTACTTACCATAAGGCTCATTATGAATAGATTAAGATGTGAAAACAAGAAAAACATATATAAAGATATTAAGATCAATAGATATAATGAATCACATCAAATAGTTTAATATAAGACCACTCAATGCGAGTTAATATTATAAACAATCTTTCTAACATGCATTTACAATCGAAGGACCTTTTTGAAAAAAATGTTTTTGTCTCTAATCACATGACTATGACTATAAAAATATCATCTAGGCTTTAACAAACACTATCTAATAAATCAAAGTCACTTTTAATAAAATCGAACAATGTGTGATGATAAATGCTTTTTCAAAACAAGTTAAACGTAATCTTAAATCACTAGTTTATTTATGATTAAATTGGTTTTATAAATAACAATTACTCCAATGATAATTCTTTAAAAAGCAAATCATCTTGCATATTTAATTATGATTAAGTAAGGTTAATTATTATATTTGTATATATTGATTGAATTATGTTTTTAGTAGATTTGAAAATATGAACACAGAATAGATCATATTAAATTTTTTCAAAACATTTTCTATTATAAAATAGAAGATAGACATTAACATAGTTTGGTAACACAATATTAACATCATATATTTTCATTACTAACATAATTTGTGACAAATTTTATTCAAAAGTGGAGAGACAAATATTTTTCATCACAAAATCCATGAATTGATTATATTTACTCACTTTTGTTCTCAACTTTTTGTAAAACAATGTGTTATGGTCTGTAACAATTATTTATTATCTCACTCTATGATGACACAAAAATATGAATATATCTGTCATCTACATAAATCTTTTATATCTCCCTCTCATTAAATTCTTAATTTTTTTATTAACAACTTCTATATTTTGCATTAATATAAACATTTACAAAATACAAAATATTCAACTGTATATTAGACGACTAAACCTAGTCTATGGACCTTGGAAATTCGGTCAGACTATAATTCCCTTTGTCGAAAAGAAATTCCTACATTAATTCTTGAATGAAAGAGTTGTAGGCAATTAAAGAAACAATTCCTACCACTTTTATATATTCAAACATGTATTCAAAAGCAAGCTTTTCCATGTTTGACCATTAATTAATTTGTCTGTTTTTGGTTTGTAATACATATCCACTAATTAGTAAAAAAAATCACAAGATTCCATTCCTGAATAATGCGCTTACGTTTGGCCAAGAAAAGCTAGCGTAACTACTACTATTATTCGTTGACTGGTATATACAAATAAATGTGTGGCATCATGATGTGAAACATGGAATTTGCAGAAAAACAATCTTTTCATCAATAGAATACTCCATTAACGTAAGAGCATAACATTGTAGCCGCATATTGTCTCATATGTGCTCAGGTTCTTATCTGCATTGCATTTATGCTGTTTTTTAACCCCATTTGTCACTTTAATTGCATCAAACATTATCAGATGCTCCAGGATATCAAATTTTAGGTGCTTTACAACAACAGATACTTTTGCTTTTTGTTATTTTCAATACGGATATCACTGCATATATCATAATGGTCTCTTAGTCATTCTTTTCATCTTATTATTATTTTACAGATAATTAATACTTAAAGAATTTAACTGATTGTTTCTATTTTTGGTGAATTTAATATCTAACTTATTCTATTAATTATTCATATTAGGAAATTTCAATTAATAAAAATGGTTATCATGGAACCCTCCTGGTGTTTTCCCTTTGTAGTTATTATGTAATTAATATTCAAATATTCTAATTTAGTTTATCTCAAAATCTAATGCTGTTCTAGATAAACATTTTATTCTTAATTATTACCAATTTCTTATGAACTCATTTGGGTTTGAAAAATACACATGAATAATGCATGCAGTTGATTACTACGCCTAGACTGAAGAGTTATATGATTATTAAATTAAAGTATTCTAAATTTCAATTTCTAATTTAGATTACTAAGCAATTTCCTAACGAGCGTCAATCATAGGAAATAACTCGTTTATTCAGCACAACTAAATTAACAAATAAGAAATATCAAATAAAAGGAGAATCAATTTCTAAAGGTTATAACTAACGTGTGTTTGTGTTTATATATATATATATATATATATATATATATATATATATATATATGAAACTGATACAAGAAAGAAGATACAAGAAGTATGAACATTTAAAGAAACAGTGCATGAATAGTGAAGCTAATCGATATAGAAATTTAAGCTTTTTACTTACATCGTCCAAACAATTGATGTAAAACATCGTTTGTAAGCGATGTGAAATATGTGTTAGCACCAGCCAAAAGTTCTTTGAAATTAGCTTTTAGCTCCCCAAAAATGGTACATTTTGAGGCTCTACTTTCACACTGCTTATTTTGATTTTACGCAACTAAAAAACTTTATCCACTTAGATGTTTTCCCATTCTCTTACACATTTTCATTACACTGAAAGTTCTAAATAGCTAACCCAAATCATGTAATTTTAAATTAAGAACTTCAAGAAAATGAATCGCAAGAAATCTCATATAATTAATAAATTTATCAAGTAACTTTCTAACTTATGTAATTGGGAAGAGAAAATTTGAACAAAATAAAAACACGCCTAAGATTATTCATAAACAGGTAAAATTAGAAATAAATGTTTAGTCTTAGTCGTCATATAATTATTATACATGACCATTTCATATATAATTATTTGTACTGTTTTTCTATATATATATATATATATATATAGGAATGATTACTATGCCCACATTCCATACATAACTCGCGTCATTGAGGGCTGGCGTAAGCAGGATACAGTCTTTTCTCAACATAAGAATGATGGTATGCTTTGTTTTTTTGTTAAGAGATTAAATTGCAACACGTTCTGATAAGAGGGGGTTCGCACGTGTGGTCGTCTAATTCTACATCAATTGGACTGGAAAAGGATCTTTCGTCGAAAGCAATCTCTTCAACAAATGTCTCAACAAATTCGCATGACACACGTGGTTCAGTGCTGTCGAGAATCCAAGTAGAAAGTCGCTCACATTGTTCTGCCTACTATTCCATGCACTATGACACAACTTTTGAGGTGCTCCTCACCACTATAAATTACTTACCATTGTCATTGCCTTTGCTCCAAACTAAACCAATTTTCTTTGTCTGTTTTACAAAGAATACAAAAACAAACCTACTCTAGTCTATTGTTCACATTACATGATGAGTTCATTTAGCCAAAATAACAATATTTTAGTTTTGTTGCTTGTTTTCACTTTCTGGACATGCCATGCAGTGTCTCGCAGGTTGCCTGACGCCTTCTCATCCGAGAGACATGAGAAGTGGATGGCACAGTATGGTAAGGTGTACGAGGATGCTGCCGAGAAGGAAAAACGGTTCCAAATATTCAAGAACAATTTGCAGTTCATTGAGTCCTTCAATGCTGCTGGGGACAAACCTTTCAACCTAAGCATTAACCGATTTGCCGACCTCCATAACGAAGAGTTTAAGGCTTTACTAATTAATGGTCAGAAGAAGGAACATAGCGTACGGACAGAAACAGAAACATCATCGTTTAGGTATGACAGTGTCACTGAGATTCCTGCTACCGTGGACTGGAGGAAAAAAGGTGCTGTTACTCCGATCAAGGACCAAGGCACATGTCGTAAGATTCTGTTCTCTACGTTCATCATTTCAATTATATTCCATTGGTGCTCCATTGAAAAATTTCTAATATAAATCAACTTGGTTTTGTTTGTGAAAACAGGAAGTTGTTGGGCATTTTCAACTGTGGC